CCCCCCCCTCCCCACAGAGAGCCTGCTATCTGTCTTTGAACCCTCAGAAAGACGAGACTCTAGAAACAGAGAAGGCTCAATATGTGCTTCCTGACGGGAACACGCTGAACGTGAGTCAGGAATACTCTTCCTCCTCCTCCTCTTCCTCTCTTTACAAACATCCTCTTCCTCCTCCTCTTACTGTTCCCCTTCCTCTTCATCCTTTGTCTTCTTCCTCCTCCTCCTCTTCCTCACTCACCTTCTATGTAAATACTGCCATATTTTTATTCTTTTTTTATGTTATAGGTTTCTTAAAATACTTCTCTATCTGTGTTTAAAAAAGAATATTCTGGTAATAAACCTGTTTCCTCCTCTTCCTCCTCCTCCTCCTCCTCCTCCTCCTCCTCCTCCTCCTCCTCCTCCTCCTCTTCCTCTCTTTAGTGCTCCGCCCCCTTTCAGCCTCCTCTCAAACCGGTGAGTTTAAATCTGCGTAACATTTAAAAGTCAAAGAATAGAAAGAGGATCAAACATTTATTTGAAATCTCTTTTTCAAAGTGATTTGAGGGATCTGTGTTTCCCTAAAGCTCTGGAGCCTTTTATTTTATAGAGCTCGTAAAACGTTGACATATATTTATAAAAAGCATGACTTTTGAAACATATATTATCAAGAATGATTACATGGCTTAGTTGAATACTGGATTCTGATTGGTCGATTCAGAACACGTTGTTAATCCAGTAGCACAGACCGTTGTCAAGGACTTATTGACCGTTGTTAAGGACGCTTGGGCCGAAACAGACAAGAAAACAGCGGAGAGGTAACGGGGCACAAACCTCAACACTAACGACGACACGTGTTCAGAGTGCGGTTCCTTTGGCGTCAGGGCAGGGGTACCTAGATGCTCTCAAGGTCTGACATCACGTGCTACTTTTAAAACAAGCAGCGATGTTCTCAAATCTGTAATCAAAAAGCTGTCAAAGCAGTTCCTGCCGTTGCTACGGTAACAACGGACTCTTTTTCTTAGCGGATGCACGTCATTTTAAATCAATAATAGTATTTTCTAAATCCATAAAAGCATTTAATGAACACTGTCAGTCATGTCGTGACTCTGTTGAGGATGTGTCCGTGTGACGAGCGGCGTTCGGGAGTTCTTCTCCCCGTAACGACCGCCTCGCTGCACGTCCTCCCTAACCTGTCATTGCTTTGTTTGACACATTATTTTAACGGCCGTAGAAGATGACGTTATATTTAGATTTGATTTCAGGGAAAGTCTCCGGAGCTTTGGTTTAATAAATCAAACTAAACAACTCCTCGCGCTTTTGGGAAATACAAGTTTCACCTCAGCTGCTTCTGAGGTTACAGAATACAAACAACAGAGCATGTGTGTCCATGTTCCTGCTCTGCACTGAGGTGACACTCCTCCTCCTCCTCCTCCTCCTCCTCTTCCTCTCTGCAGTGCACGGTGTCGCAGCCCCCCCCTCAGAGACAGGAAGTGATCAATAACTCTGAGATCCTTCAGGGCCCAGAGGAGGCTCTCAACCCGCCGATGTTCCCCCAAAACCCCACCAGCTCCCCCGTGTCATCGTCCCCCAAACCCGACGCCTCGGAGCTGTACCTGCGCTCCAGAGCTCTGCTGGAGAGCAAGCGTGAGTCTCAGCCACTTGTATCTTAATATAACGTTATCATCACTACTGCAGACCTTCAGACTCAGGGAATGGGGCCGGAGTGTGCAGCTCTCACTTAAACATCACTCACCGAACACATCACATTATAAAGTTCACACACACAAAATGAATCCACAGAAATTGCTTTTCATTTCATTTCAAACCTCTATTTATTCAGATTGGTCCCTTGAGATCGATCTCATTCACAAGGGAGATCTGCATCATTTAGTTCCACATCAAACATAAAAACAACAAACAAACAACAGAGGATATCATATTTACATATTCAACATTTACAAATACCCAGAGTGTCAGAAAGCATTTCATTTAGACGTGCCTTAAATACATTCAGAGAAATAAAAATGCTCAAATGCTTAAAGTCTTAAAGTGTCGTCACAACAAAAGGCTGAGTGAGTTCTTCCAGTGGCGTGTGGTCCGTTAGACCCCCCAGAGCATGATCAGTATGACCCCCCCCCTTCTCTCTGCAGCGGCTCACACCAAGGACCTGGATGTTTTCATCAAGAGGAACCAGGAGTCAGGATTTGGATTCAGAGTCCTCGGAGGGGAAGGGCCCGACCAGCCGGTACGTGCCACAGACTAGTGTTCATTTCTTTGACTAAAACTATGACGAGATCTGTTCGTCAACGAGCTCTTTCTCCATGACTAAGACGAGACGATGACGAGACGATGACGAGACGATGACGAGACGATGACGAGACGGCACCGACGTCAGTAAACAATAACTGTGACGAAAGTTTGACTAAAATGAGAAACGATTGGTTTTGGAGTAGTTTGACTGAAACGTTCGATATAATCTGATGACTAAAAAAGACTCATCAACAGTTTTCATTGACAAAAAGTAAACTAAAATAATTAGTTTTCTTCGACTAAAATAAGACTAAAATGCTCAGACTTTTAGTCGACTAACACTTGACTAAATAGAAACAGGATGAAGGTCACTAAAGAGAGGCGAAGTCACGCCCATCTACTTCCGCTCCATGGGACCTTATTTCTGAAAAATGATGCATTGAAGTCAATGGAGAGAGAAAACTTATCTTTCGATCCCGTTTGAATTGTGCCATGAATTACACATATGATGTTTGTCAATTTAAAAAATCATTTCCATGTCAAAAAAGTCAGTTTGTCGTAAAACTGTTGAAATATAAGACTATGAAAAATACGCAGCTAGAAAGACTACAAATCCCAGAGTCCCGGTCCCGCATGCTGGCTCTTAGGAACCGGCTAACTCCCCTTGTGTGTATGTACAGCTCTCAACGTGCCCAGACCTGGAGGGATTTTCACCTCTTTTAATACTTTCCACCTCGTTCTGAAAGAAAGAAGTGAAATGTGCCAACGTGACGCCGTCTGGGTGTGTGGAGCGAGACGGGAGATGTAGTTCATTCAGCGTTTCACACAAAGTGTTACTTCACAGTTTTACCACACATTTTATTTTTTTTACTTGCAAAATTATCTTTTAAATTGACAAACATCATATGTGTAATTCGTGGCA